ACACACACACACACGTGCCAACACACACACATCAACACACACACACACACACACACCAACATACACACACATGCCAATCACACACACACCAAAGTACACTCTCACAGAACACGCACATACACACCAACACACACAAACATGCACACGACAACACACAGATACGCACCAACACACACACAAACCAATGCACACGCATGCCAATACACGAACACCCACACACACATGCGCATGCCAACTTACACACACACATGCACACCAATATACACATGCACACATCAATATGCACACACTCACAGATCAAGACAACACACAAACATAGCTGGATCCATTAAAATATACCCACATACACACATACACCAAATGCAAAGACAAACCAATGCATGTTTGTACACACCTTTGTACGTACAGACACAGATGCACCAAAACACATGCAAACTCATTAATGCACACATACATACACACACAGGACACACAGATGCATGCGCTAATCCACACCAACATACACAGACAGATACATCAAAGTATACATACACCAACACACAGATACACTGCCACGTCCACACATACCACAGACACTCCAATGCACTTGCCAAGATACACAAACACATTTATCAGACTATACACAGAACCAAACACACACATCACTGCATCATGCTACCTGCCCCATCATATTTACTCACTCACTCTCACACGCATTCAAACGTATCCATTACCACATACAAACACACACTATGATATGCAACCATGGAACATATTTAGGGTTATTGCTTGATTCGTGTTGAGATTTCCAGTTTGTTTTGTTGGTCAGTTACAAGTAAGAATAACATGGCGCGGAAGTGTGCATTCATATTCTCTGGAGCCCCCAGAGCACGTTCAAAATTAAGTTGAACTCAATGTTCCTATTAATTAGCATTCATTGCTGTTGTGGAGCCTCACGTGAGATTACATTCTTTCGGCAGTGATTACATCCAGAGCTGTACTAGTATCATCATTCTCCATGTGTCCAGTCGAGAGATTGAGAATTGACAGGCAATTTGTGTAAGTCTATTCATCAGTAATTTCCAACTCCTGACCTCTACCATCTAGATGGACAAGGGCAGCAGATACAGGGGAACACTACCACCTGCAAGTTCCCCTCAAAGTCACACACAGCATCCTGATTTGGAAATGTATATTACTTCCTTCAGTGTCACTGGGTCAAAATCCTGGAACTCCCTTCCTAGCAGCACTGTGGGAGTACTTACATGCAAAACACTGCAACAGTTCAAGAAGGCAGTTCATCACCACCTTCTCCAGGGCAATAAGCAATGAACCATACACTGTGACCTAGCTAACGATGATCACATCCCATGAATGAATAAAAACTAAACATATTGCCCAATATCCACACAGCTGCACCTTACAATGAAGGTCACGGATCTGAATAGGATCCCAAGAGGCACTGAAGCCAATTATAATTGCCCTGACATCATTTTAAATTAGACCAATAGTATCAACAATCCTCAAACCTGGGGCTTTCTCTGTCAGTAAGCTTCATTTACACAGTGCGCAGTGAACAAAGAATTGAAACACTTCCACAGTCTGGGAAGGGTTAATGCAAACGTGCAACTGAGGAACTAAAAGTGGTTTGATAAATTGAACATTTCACACATCCTTTACTGTGCTGTCCCACTGTGCCATTCCAGCACTGAAAAGCCAAACACATTTTTGTGATTTAAACATTTCTGGACAGGCTTGTCGCTTAAACATACAATAAAAAAATTCAGGATTGTGAGACAGAAAAATAATTCACCCACTTTCCAATTAATGTTTAATGTTTGAAGGTCTAAGTTATCTCTTTTTCTTCCACTCGCTCATGTAAGTCAAGATATAAATGTCTTGCTGGTATGAAAGTGACATTCACTCATAAATGTGTAAATGGCCAATTAATTGACTAGTTATTGCATAAAATGTGGCAGGCGTTTCTTGCATTTTATTTGCAATATCTTATCCTGCCAACTAGGTTTATATTACATTATAAATCATCAGCTCCTCTGACTATTCATTCAAGTAAACCTTCAAGGTGGAGTCAAAAAAGTGCATTGAA